GTGCACGTGCAATTTACTGGAGATTCCATCTTCAGGATGAACCTCTTCTGGAGGTTATGAGAGTGATTGTCTTTCTATATATATAATTTAGTTTGCCGCAAACTTTTATCTTTTACAGTAACATGTTTTATATGCTTCTGGCACAATATGCTTCTGGCATACCAAATCATCAATGATATATTCAACATGAATATGGGGCTTAGTCACTCTTTTCTTGGTAGATTATCATGTGAACTTCTGGTTCAGTTTGACTAGTACGTGGATATAAATATTGAAGATCTTTTTCACCAATGGAATTTCTTGATATTATTTTGTATTTTGGGCAGTAATCTCCCCCTAATGTCGAGAATTGATCTTCAATGAAAATGCAGTCAGCGTACCAAATTATAAATTGATCCCCTAACATGGGCCATAGGTACTAAATTATTGACGGAGTTTCATAAATAATGTATGTACCTTCACCGAAGTCCCGTAGAGGTATGCTATGGTGGTGATATATAAACATGGACTGCAAATAAAGAATACGCAGATGAGAAATGTTTTGCTTATTTACCACGTATTAGATAAAGGGGGGAAATTGTGATATGCAGTTGGTCGGATTTGGTTTGAATGCCCCATTTAATTTAAGAAAATCCGACGAATCATATTTTGCCCAAGATGACCCAATCGCTCATGCCAGAATTTAAAAGAATTTGGGTCCCTAAATCTCAAACTCATCGCAACATGTTGTATTTTAGGTCAGACAAATTCTAAAATATACACATATGAATAAAAACCACATAGGTTCACAAGAGTTTAAAGCAAAATCAAGATAAATTAAAATTGTCTGACAAATGTATATAATCCAAATATAGAGAAACCAAATAGTTCGATAAGATCCATTACCTTCCCCTCGTCCAAGCTTATGAATATTAGTTTGAATTATGACATGTGCTTCAGGCACTACGACTGAACCAATTAAACTTGCATTATGGTTTCTCACAACAGCTGGTTGTGTTTTTAACAGCTACTAATACAAGGATTAGTTTATAATGCTTTTAGTTGTACTATTGTAAGAGTACAAGGTTACTTGTTGAATTGTATTCAGTCGAGGGTTTAAAATCCAAAAATGGCTACAGGATAAGATCTCCTACTATGTTCATAGCCTCCCCCTTGTCCACGCGCGTATAAGTAATTTTTTTAAATTGTAGCATGTGATACAAACACAACTCGTAAGCCAACTAGTATGACATTATGATTTCTAATCATCAATTGGTTGTGCTTCTCTGCGACTACTAATGTAGATATCAATTCAGAATGCTAAGTGCCATTCTTGGTCATGTACTGCTGCTGGAGTACAATATTATTTGCATGGAATGGGGAAAAGAACTTTTTGATCAAATTATTGGCTTCCATAGATCAAAGCGATCCTTCAGGGATTGCCCAGAAAAGTGAATACTTTTTCACTGAGGTATTAATTTTTCATGTCTTAGAAAATTTAAAGTGTTTGCCTTCTGAGCAAATATACTTAAAGAATCAAGAGATATAATCGTGCAAAAATCACAGGTGTGTCCAGTAAAAAAAAATGAACGTTCGATGCTAAGTAATAATTACTATCATATATCACAGTGTACTAATCATGTGGACGAAAGATTAGTGCATGAGAAATTAGAAATATTCATATTTTAATAAGATCACACATAATCACCAAAATCATTAAGCTCCTTTTTCTAAAGATCTTCATAAAAGTTATCTTTCAAATGTTTGCTTCTGGCAAGATTCGAAACTCCACTAAGACAATGCATACTCTTATTCTTCTAAACAGAATAAACAACAATTTTGCAAACTAGGAGATAAGCATGAATATTCAACTTCCCAAGGCAGTAGGGTAACACATGATACACTTGCATCCTTGCAGATCAACATGAAATACTAGATTAATATATTTGTGCTGCATATTCAGAAATCAAGACATTTATGCATTCATAATGAAGTATAATTTATCCTTAGGATAGAAACAAACTGAAAATGAAATGTGGACGAAAACCATAGGATTTTATTGAGAAACTCTTTGCATAAGGTAGGTGGAAGTTTCAAGATTTCTATATCAGATTCTTTAGTTTGCACCATATTATATTACAATAACGTGTGATCATTTATTAGCTTCTTTCTCATTAGCATCAAATTGCACTATCTCATAAACATTTGTAGATATATGTACAATTAATATGTTACCAAAATAACGTGTGATCATTTATTAGCATCAAATTGCACCAATGTAATAGACCCATTTAATATGAAATTATACGTGCAATTTATTAGCATCAAATTGGCGACTGAAGGTTTTACATAGCCATAATATCAATATTATATACCATTTTGATAAACTGGTGTAATTTACTTACATGTATCAGTTAGGCATGTTATTAAAAATGATTGTACAGTTATGTTATATGTATTAATATTGGTTATTAGAAGGATTTATCTTATCATTAACGCAGCAGCATGGATAAATCCTATTATACATTAGATACTGCATATCATGTCCACAATCCTATTAATCTTTAGCCTACGACGCATTAACTCATTATGATGACAGCATATCACCAGGCCGACAATTGCTATATGTATTAGGCTTGATACTATGTAAAACCTTCAGTTATGGCCATTAGACAAACTGTTAAATTGATAATCTTCGGTATAATGACAGCATATTTCAGAATAAAATATTATAAACTCTTACCACCAACGGACGATTACGAACCGGCTAGCTAGAGCTTTCGTGCTGATAACGTGTTGTAATCTCGTTGTTGTATCTACATACATCACATATCAAAAGTAAGAATCAAACATAAAATGTAAATGTAAATAGACAAGAGAAGAGATAAGGAGAAAGTGATCATCTCATTTTATTCATCCTCATTTCACCATACATTTTGTCTTCCATGGATTACATTATATAGATGTAGAAGAGAATACTAAAAGTCACAAGTAGGTGAAGAGTCTTCTTCTAGTAATGTCCACATTCATTGTATTTATATTTACAACACTTTTATTAAATTTGACATCGCCTTATTTTAAACTTGTTTTTTCCGAGAAAATATTTTAAACTTGTATTATGTTAGCGCAGTATACAAGTTTGAAAATTGCATAAAATTAACATGAAATATAAATAGAAGATTTCCGTGAGAAGAAAGGTTTAATTCTCATCACATCCGCCGGAATTTTATTTTTCAAATGGACCTAAAGTATACAAAGAATTCTAATAATATCTCAATATGAGCAAACCACTCACTTTCTAGGAGGGCTGCAATTGTTGCGTAAATTAGTCCGAGTTCGACCATTGTTTTCCAACGCAACGTGGAAGAAAGTGCTAGAAGAAATGCATTTATTATTATATATCACATTGAGTGAGGAGACAAATTTGAGGACAATGTTTAATTTACAAGAGTTATCTTTGCATTGAGATGACGTTCTACCTAACATCTCAATTGCTTTAGCAGGTAAGCATGGTTAACTTTCACATCAATGTTGCAATCAACAATGAGCCGACATCTGGGGGTGCTTTCTATTGATGGTGTTCTCTTTCAAGGAGAAATTGATATGAAATTAGAGATATTTCATGGCATTAATTTGGTGGAAGAATAAGGTTCTCTATCACCACACATCCAACATTAGGGGTTGTTTGGTTCATTTTGTAGAAACCTAAGTTTGAGAGATTAGTCATAGGAAATAGGTTGTTGGATCCATTTTCATGTTTTCAATACCATTTCATGACTTTTTGGGAGGAAATGAGTTTCCTTAAATTTAGGCACCACGATACTATTATCTTACTAGTGGATGAGTCTCACATGCACAACATCTCTTTTTTTTTTCTTTCAACCAAACATAAGAAAATGAAATTAAACACCTTTCACATGAGTGTATTAGGCGTTTTGATTTACTTTTCTTAGATTCTCAGCCAACCAAACCGCCCCTTTGAGGACAAGTCTTTTGAGCCAATTAAGTGAGCAGGGCGTTATGTCATGACTAAGTAGTTGTACTAGCTTTTAGGAGTAAGTTGGAAAAATTGCTCCATGTTTGACGAGAAAAATATCGTGAACTTTCATCATTTCTTAGTACTATAATTTCGTGCAAGTACAAGAGTACGAGGGATATCCACGTTATTCACATGGTACTATCCAAACAACAAAACTAAAACAGTCAATACGAATTGAAAACAAGATTTATTAGTTGAAGTATGCTTCTAAAATAACATTGCGGAATTCAAGTATCATGATTATTAGATCACTAACTTTTGACCTTCTCTAAAATTAACTTTTGACCTTCTCTAAAATTCAAGTATCATGATTATTAGATCACTAACTTTTGGCCTTCTCTAAAAGAATTCCCAATAAGTACCCAACAAAAAATATATAAGGATTATTTATCTCATAATAATTAATTAAATTACAAAATTGGTATTTTATATAACCCTCCTTAGAGCTTCTCCAATGTGAGGCTCTATTTTGGAGCCCAAACTTTGGCATATTCCTTAGAGCAGCTCCAATCGTCCTCCTTTTCTCCATTTTGGAGCCGATGCATCTTCCAACCGAACCCCAAATTTTGCAGTCAGCTGCAAAACCGGAGCTTGAGGCTGCAAATTTGGAGATTTCTCTCCAAATTTGCAGCCAACTCTATACCACTATTCCCCAAAAAAATACCAAAGTTAACCCTCAATCTCTTTAACAACATTTCATTATTCCAATTGTATCCCGTTATTAATTTTTATAGTTACTTAAAATCTATATATATATATTAATATATTAAATATTTTTTAATGAAAATAATATCATTGGAAATGTCTCGTCGATACCTTCAAAATGAGACTAATATCGAAATATAAAATTGCAAAACAAGTAATTAGAAATGATAATACATTGGAGCTTAAACTGAAATAAAACACATTAACTTAGAATTACATCGAAATTTTAATAAAAAAAAGTTACATCACTTCATTGCCGTGTCTCTCCCACAAATGTTCAATTAATGCCCTTGATTATAGCAAATCTTGACTGGAGAACACCAAACGCTCGCTCCACATCTTTTCGACAAGCTTCTTGCATCATTGCAAAATATTGTTTCTTTTTATCTTCGGATTTGGAAATGGTTTGAACAAGGGTTGGCCATTTCGGGTATATGCCATCGGCTAAATAATAACCGACATCATAATTCTTTCCTTGAATTGTATAATGAGCAGGAGGAGTAATACCTTGCGTTAGGTTGTCAAACAAATTAGATGCTTGTAATACATTAATATCGTTATTAGAACCTGGCAAGCCAAAGAATGCATGCCATATCCATAGGTCATACGATGCTACTGCCTCAAGAATAATGGTTGGGCCTCCGTGACGTCCTGAGTATTGTCCCGCCCATGCTGTTGGACAGTTTTTCCATTCCCAATGCATACAGTCAAGACTTCCCAACATTCCTGGGAAACCTCGCTCTTCGCCTTTTTGTAACAGTCTTGCAACATCGTCGGTATTGGGGGATCTAAGATATTCATCTCCATACACTTCTACAATTGCTCTGCAAAATCTCTTCAAACATTCAATTACAGTTGACTCACCAATCCTTACATATTCGTCGGTACTATCTGCTGGTGCACCATATGCCAACATGCGAAATGCTGCTGTTACTTTTTGTAAAGTAGATAGTCCAAGCCGACCGACACCATCCACCTTCTGTACGAAATAGTTATCGTGCTCTCGTACAGCGTCGACGATACGAAGGAAAAGACTCCTTTGCATTCAGAATCTTCTACGGAATAAATTTGCACCGTATGTGGGATTATTAGAAAAATAGTCATTGTAGAGTCGAGAATTACCTTCTTCCCTCCCACGGTTGATTACCAAATGACCAGGAACTGAGCCGATACGTTTTGGCCTCTCTTCCTCTTTAGCGAAATAAGCCATTATTTTATTGTTAGCGACATATAGACGAGCTAAGATTTCATCCTCCTCCTCCCATTGTTTCATATCCTCCTCCCATTGTTCAACGTAATGAGAAAATGTTTCGTCATCAGAAGAAGAAGAAGAATAAGATGGTAGGTGTGATGGTCCAGCTCCATAATTCATTATTGAAGAGGGGATTTGGAGAAATGAATTACAGATTGGTGATGAGTTGTTAATAGGTGTATGTTGTGTTATTATATAATGTTTCTACCCACATTGGATTCTCCCACCCGCATCGGTTTCTACCCACATTGGATTCTCCCACCGCATCGGTTTCTACCCACATTGGTTCTCCCACCCGCATCGGTTTCTACCCACATTGGATTCTCCCACCCGCATCGGTTTCTACCCACATTGGTTCTCCCCCCCGCATCGGGTTTCTACCCACATTGGATTCTCCCACCCGCATCGGTTTCTACCCACATTGGATTCTCCCACCCGCATCGGTTTCTACCCACATTGGATTTTTTCCCGTATTGTTTTCTACCCACATTGGATTCTCCTACCCACATCGTTTTCTACCCACATTCCTTTCTCCCACTAGCATTGAATTCTCCATAAATTTTTCACTATAAATACTAGCACAACCCTCATTCCTTCATCACAACTCTTCTCATTCCTCCTCCATAGTTCTTCTCAACAACTCTTCGTCCTTCTCTTATTCTCCCATTATATAATGTTTCTACCCACATTGGATTCTCCCACCCGCATCGGTTTCTACCCACATTGGATTCTCCCACCCGCATCGGTTTCTACCCACATTGGATTTTTTCCCGTATTGTTTTCTACCCACATTGGATTCTCCTACCCACATCGTTTTCTACCCACATTCCTTTCTCCCACTAGCATTGAATTCTCCATAAATTTTTCACTATAAATACTAGCACAACCCTCATTCCTTCATCACAACTCTTCTCATTCCTCCTCCATAGCTCTTCTCAACAACTCTTCAACCTTCTCTTATGGCATACGGTCGCGGAAAATCATTCTTACAAGAAGAAGATCAAATTTTATGCGCTACATGGCTTGAAATATCTCAGGATCCAGTTTTAGGTTCCAATCAAAAGAAAGACAAGCTATGGGAGCGAATTTCAGCTCTATTTCACGAAAGGATTTCCAACGTTTACACCGGACATAGGAGCCCGAAGTCTCTCTCATGCCGAATGCAATTAATTATGAAAGCCATCAGTAAATTTCGAGGATGCATTTGACAAGTCGAGCGCCTCAATCTAAGCGGTGCTTCTGAACTTGATATTGTAAGTATATGAATTACATGTTTCTTCGTTATTAAATTATTTTCCACCTTTTCTAATAATTATTTCTTCTTTTGTGGTAGAATAAACGTGCTAGGATCATATTTGCAGAAGATCCAGAAGAGAAAAGAGGATTTCTATTTGATCATGTTTGGCCGATTTTGAAGGATGCAGAGAAGTGGGCAAATATAAGCGTCATGCCTTCTGCATCTTCCAAAATTTCAAAGTCTCGCTTGTCTCAAGGATCTGATTCAAACTCTCCTGTCATTGACTTAAATGAAGACAATCAGGCATATACCACTAATGACGACAACCATTCGCCTATGAGCATTTCAACTAGTCGACCAACTGGAAGGAAGAAAGAGAAGTTGAGAAGACGGAAAGAAATTGAAAGGAACATTGACTTTGAGGATTTTGCTAAAGGAAATCAAGAAATCTTAGAAGTTTTAAAAAAAGGTAAAGAACAACGAGAAAATGAAAGATTGACAATGAACCAGGCTATGATGTTAAAGGCTGAAAATGATAAGAAAAAGTTAGAACTTCAGCAAGAACGACAAGAGAAAGAAATTATGCTAGTTGATCTGGAAGCTATTACCGATCCAACAAAACGCGAATATTTTCGAAATAAACAACAACAGATTTTAAATAGAAATATAACTAGGGGTTCCTCATCTGATATTCCTAATCCTGAATACAGTTACGCAGGAAGTCAATACGGAATACCTGACTACAGAGGAGGTGGATACGGAGGAGTTGACTTTCCAGACTTTTAGTATTTTCATGTATTATGTTTTTCCTATTTGTCATGTAATTTTCAATTCATGTTTTTGCTTTCTATGTAATAGTCGTGGATTTAGTAATATGAATGTCTGTTTAATTTAATCAGATTGCCTATTTTATATTAATACATTTAATAATATTATTAATAATATTATTTATATTATATAACTTTTATTTTTTTATTAGAGTTAAATATAAGGTCTCGATCATGTCAACATGTGGATTCACAAGTTCAACCATATGCAAGAGTTCAATCGTACAAAGATTCGACCATATATAAGTTTGAATTCAAATCAATTCTTGGCTTTACATATGTTCAGATTCAAGGCATATAAAGGATTCAAGGCATACATGAGTTCAACCATACACGAGGGTGCGACCACATATAAATTTGAATTCAAATCAATTCTCGACCTCACACATGTACGAATTCAAGGTGTATAAGGTTCTCGACCACAAACGAGGTCGGACTCATGCCATACATATGAATTCAATTATATACAAGAGCTTTGCTATATACAAAGTTTGAGTTCAATCATATACATGAGTTCATTTATATATGAGTTCAAATTATATACAAAGTTCAAGCACATAAATGAATTCAGCCATGAATAGCTCAAAGACCTCAACAAGAATTTTCAGCCATACATAGGTTCGAGGAGCCGTTCGACCACGCATTCAGTCATCAACCAAAATCTCAACAAAGTTTCGGCCATGAATAGTCAACATTTTCGGCCATGTACAGCATCAACCCAGAGTTTCAGCCATGATCAAAATCAGACATAAAGAGTTTCTTTCTTTTAATTGAAAATCTAGAGCTTCAGTTGTCAAATTATTCATACAACCATGGAAGGGAAATTCGGACATATACAGTTTGAAGAAGTCGACAAATTTATCTCCCACGGCCAATCATCAACAAAAAAAAAGAGAGAGAGAAAAAAAAATTCGGTTTTTTCTCCAAGATCAGAGAGTTGAAGGCGTCAAACATCAATCCATGAACACAACAAACCCATGTCAAATTTCGGCCAACTCCTCAAAACCCCAATTTTCGGGTTCTCCCTAAGATCAAAGAAGTTCTTTTCTCCAAATTTCAGGAATTAGGGCTTCAACCATCAAAACCCATGGGTTCAAAATCAAGAATTCAAAACTGAAATCAAAGCAATGAGGAGAAGCTTACCTGAGTTTGAAGAAGGTTGAAGCTTGAAGAAGAGGAAAATCCCAAATTACCAAGCCCTAGCTTGTGAAGAGGCAAAAAATTCGGCCAAAGCTCAGGAACTTCTCCAAAGCCTTTTGATCTTAGCAAAGTTGAAGAGTTTGAGAGTTCTTAAAGGAGAGGAATTTCTGGTATGGAGGAGTTCTTGGGTGTTTAGAACTCAAAGAAGAAGAAGACCGAAATTTTTGAAGAGCTAGAACCGAACTTGAGGAAGAAGGAAGAAAGAAAATGGGGATTTTTACCCCTTCTCCCAGATTCCGACCCGCGTTCCGCGGGTCGGACTTGTGTCCGACCCGCGTGCTCGCGGGTCGGATCAATCCGACCCGCGATCACGCGGGTCGGATTCATCTGACCCGCGTGAACGCGGGTCAGACCCTTATTGGCGTCCGTTCTGCTGCATTTTCGCCTGATTTCGTCCGTTTTCGAAATTTTCGAAGGTTAACCTCATCTCCCGGACAATTTCACGGCATTTTTGTTCATATTTGGAATGTTCAGAGTTCGACTTCATTTCCCGGATAATTGAGCGGCATTTTCAGTCAGATTTGGAATTTTCGGAGTTCAATTCCGTCTCCCAAATAATTGCGAGATATTTTCGTCTATTTTCAGAATATTCGAGACCCAATTTTATATTTTGGGTGATTTCGTGATTTTTCACCTATTTCGGAATATTCGGGACCCAATTTTATATTTTGGGTGATTTCGCGATATTTTCGCCTTTTATCGGAATACTCGATATCCAAACTCCAACGGGTACATGAGTCTAAACTGTTTCCCGTTTTGACAGGAAGTTCCTAGAGAATATTACAGATAAATAATTCTTAAGGATAACCTGGCAACCTCCGGCGGGTACACGAGGTTAAACTGATTCCCGAAACTCCCAGGAGTACACGAGTATAAACTGGTTCTCCTCAGGTTAACGCGAAACCCTAAGGTCAACGCCGGTCAACGTGTAGCCCTAGGTCAACGCCTGTCAACGCGTTGCAATTGATCCAAAAGTCAACTCAATGACATATCAACAAAAAAAAACCCACTCACCAATTCCGGTTCAAGGCTTCAACAACGGTCAGACGATAAACGCAGTACCGAGAAAATCTTAGCTATTCGACAAAATACAGAATACGCTAAAATATGGAGAAGTCAAGAATCGAAACCATCTGTAGGTCCTTTAACACCGACTGAAGGTGGGGATCCATCATATCCAAAGCGTTTCAGACTCCTCTATAAAAGAATGAGGCTGAAACACTTTGGAGGGGGTATCTGTAGGCGTCTAAAATTGTCTACGAGAGCCCACACGAGATTCGAAGCAATGAATGTGCACGTCGGTCAAACGCGTGCACGTCAATCAACTCGTGCGCGCCAGTCAACGCGTGCACGTCAATCAGCTCGTGTGCGCCAGTCAACGCGCGCACGTCAATCAGCTCGTGTGCGCCGGTCAACGCGCGTACGTCGATCAACTCGTGCGTGCCGATCAAAGCACGCACGTCAACCAACTCGTGCGCGCCGGTCAACGCGCGCACGTCAATCAGCTCGTGTGCGCCGGTCAACGCGCG